AAAACAAAAAAATACAATATAGATTTAAATCACACAATAGCTATAATTACCCTGAGTGTGAGACAAACACTCATATTAAAAGGAAGTTATCTCACTCAATAAAAGCAAAATTTTTTATGAAATTCAATTTCTTTTATTAAAAATTCTCAAGTAATCAAAAATAGAGATTTTTCAGCCTTTCATGATCTACCTGGAAAATATCTAGGAACTCCATCCATGTCCCCCACAATCAGCTATAAGGCAAAAATATCCTCTTTACCACTTGTTCTTAACTTTTTATATGGGACATCCTACCCAGTAAAATAAAGCAAGACAGAGCATGGATAAATAAATAAAGTAAAATAAAGCAAGAAAAAAACCACAGTAAGAGTAGAAATGAGGAAGTAAAACAGTCTACATAAATAGGAAAAAAAATGTAAAAGCACTGTCAAAAATAAGGTGGTAAAACCAATAAACAAGTATAGCAAGGTCTTAGGTTAAGGACCAACTAACAAACTCCAATCACATTTCTATACTGGAAGGAAATTTTTAGAATTGAATTTTTTTAATAAATATTAGAGTATCATCCATAAAATATTAATACTTAAAGATAAATCCTTAATCACATAAAAATATATAACATACATAACATTTAAGTATGTTTTTATTATAACTTTTTTTAAAAAAGAAGACAAACAGCCCATGGGCCACAGATCATCATTTCAAGATAGTTTCAAATATTAAAAAGCTGTTTTCTGTAAGACTGATGGTAACTACAATGCAAAAAACCTTGACCAGACAAATGAAAACTAGTAAGTAATAAGTCAAAACAAACCACTAGAAAGAAATCACTTAACCATAAAGGAAAAGTGAGCATAGGAGAAAGAAACTACAAAAATATCAGAAAACAACTAATAAAATGGCAGTAATAAAACTTTAAGTATTAATTTAAATACCACAAATACAAATGGATTCAATTCTCCAATGAAAAGACAAAGAATGATTGAATGGACACAAAACAAGACCCAACTATATGCTGTTCACAAGAAACTCACTTCACCTATAAAGATATGCATACAGGAGGCTGGGGAGATAGCTTGACAGTCTAAGCACCTGCCTGGCAAGCACAAGGTCCCAAGTTCAATCCCCAATACTGCATGCCCTACGGTCCCTGGAACCCCAGAAAGGCTGGGCCAGAGACTGAAACCAGAAGTGGTGCTGCATGCCTATAATACCAGCACTGGGGAGGCTAACACAGGAGGATCACTACAAATCTGAGCTATGAGCAAGACCCTGTATCAAAAACAAAAAAATATGTATACAATGAAGATGACAAGACAGAAAGAAATATCCCATGCAAATGGAATCCAGTCATACTTTAAGACACTAGAATGGACAAGGATTTTTTTGGATAAGACCCCAAAAGCACAAGTAGCAGGAACTGAAATAGACAAATGGGATTACATAAAAATCAGAAGCTTTTCCACTGCAAAAGAAACAGCACACTAAAGCAACAACCTACAAAATGGGAGAAAACATTTGTAAGGTATATATTGGACAGAACTTGATAGCTAGAAAATATGTGATACATGGAGGGAAAAGAGAAGAAGCAAAAATAATAATGATATGCACATGTACCAATACCCATTATGTATGTAAGCAATGTGTACTGCAATAATAACATTTATTTTCTACTAATAAAAGAATAAAATTTAAAATAATAGTATTGGCCATGGAGATGGCTCAGTAGAATAAGCGCTTGCCTGGCAAGTGCAAGGGTCAGAGTTCAATCCCTGGATCCATCAGAAAAATTAAAAATAAAAATAAAAAATCAAATAAAATAATAGTATTTATAAGAAACATAAAATGCTCAATAATAAAATAGTCCTGGTAAAGACAGGCATGGTGGTACATGCCTGTAATCCCAGCACTCAGAAGGCAGAAGCAAGAGGATCACTATGAGTTAGAGGCCAGCATAGACTACAAAATGAGTTCAAGGCCAGCCTGAACTACATACCCAGATCCTATCCAGTTAAAATCCACCACAGACCTAAACAGATATTTCTCAAAAGATATACAAATATACAAAAAGCTTATGAAAAATATTCAATATTAATCATCAGAAAAATAAAAATGAAAATCACAGTGAGATATCAGTCAATTCCAGTAAGAATAACTATTATTAGCAAGACAAAAGATAACAGGTACTGGCAAAGACTTGGAGAAAAGGGAACCTTGTAAATAGCTGATGGAAAAGTAAATTAGGATAATACCTTGTGGAAAACACTACAGTAGTTCATCCAAAACTTGAAAATAAAACTGCCATACAATCAGGCAGTCTTACCTTGAAGCAAAGAAAAGGAATTTGGTATACCAAAGAGACACTATTCACCATACTCATTAAGTAGAAAAATAAGTGCCTATTAGTGGATGTATGCATAAAGAAAAGGTGATAGATAGACAGATGATGGATAGATAGGTAATCAGTCTATATATAGAATGGAATACTATTCAGTCTCCAAAAAGAATGAAAATTTGTCATTTCTAACAACATAGAGGAATTGGACAATACATGTTAAGTGAATATTGTATGACGTCACTCATCTATAGAATCTAACAATGTTACCTCCTTGAAGGTGAGAGTAGAAAACTGGTTACTAGAGGATGGAGAGAGAAAATGAGAAATATTAATGAATGAATACTATGTTACAGTTAAGTATCCTGATGAAAAATTCTAGAATTCTGGAATGCTACTACACAGCAAGTGACAATAGATATATACTACACATTTCATAAAAGTATAAGAAAAGATTAGGCATATGTTTATCAAAAAGAAATGATAAATGTTCAAAGAAAAGTTTATCCTGATGAGAACATTAATATGTGCCAAAAAATCATGTGGTACCTGACAAATATATTTACTTCTAAGTGTCAATGTTTCTAAAAAGATAACACATCATCAAAAGAAATGCAGTATGAAGTAAAAGTAAAACTGAAACTGGAGCTAGTAGTTTACACACGATGCCACATGGGTCACACATGCTGCACTTCTCCCAAAAAGTTGTTACCTTTAGATCCTTGTAACTTCTCTGTGATATTCCTAATCACCCTAGAGTTGCATAACTGAAGATTAATCTGTCTTTAACAGATTAATACTGCAATAATAACATTTCTCACCTTCAAATCAAGCACAACTAACATTGTATAAGAAGAGGACAGTAAGTAAAGTACCTTGTATCCTAGACCCAATTGGTAAATAGCAAATATCTGAGCTGCATTTAGAGCATCACTGAAAAGGTAAACTGCAGTCATCTGGCCACAGAATACTCTATTAGCATCTGCTGTTTCGGATGAGCCCAGAAAACACTTGTCAAAGGTCTGTGGGGGGAAAGAAAAAGATTTTATTAGAGAAAAAACAACTATATCCTCCAGGAATAATAATTTAAATGATAATATTTTCAATAATAATTTAAACTAACACTAAATATTTTCTCTATTCTAAGCAGTATCTGAACTAAAAAGAAAATCTATTTAGTATTTCACTTCATTCCATGTGAAGTAGAAATCATGGAAAAGCACAAGTTTCCCAAAATACAATAAATACAATTTGATGACAAAAGGGAAGTAAAAAGGAGTCCGACAAATCATTGCAGCTCAGAAGGTTCGTAGCTGGATAACCAAAAAGCAGAAATGCATGCTGGGGTGCAAGGAGAAAATAATGAGTTAATTTTGAGACTTACTGAACTGACCCTCTCTTTGCACTCATTTTCGTGTGTGTGTGCAAGAAAAAAAAAGATAGAGAGAGGGAGAATGAGGGAGGGAGGGAAGGAGATCACTAACATTTACTGAGTATTCATTGTCTACAAATCTTTCCACTAACAGTTACAATGTATTATTTACTTTATCTCACTTAATCATCACAACAACCTTCTAGTGTACATAATATTTTAGGCCCATATTTTAAAATCTAAGGTAGAATGGATTAACTAAGACCATACAGTCAGTGACAGGGCTAAGATGAAAATATGTCTAACACTCTGCTTATGATTAACATTATATAGTACACACATATGTATATATGTGTAGTGAAGGATATTAAAGGATTGAATTGCAAACAAGTGGTATAGTTTCTGTTCATTTTCTTTAGATTTAGCTTAAATTTTCTATAAAATGAATGTTATTAGTGGAAAAATAACATTTAAAATTTTATTCTAACCTAAGTATCTCTTTTTGAGTCTTGGAAATGTAACAATACAATAATGGTTATCTACAGAAGCTATGTAAAATTTATAGGTATGCATCATCTATGTCTTCCATAAACTAATCAGAATCTACTAGGAAACTCCTGTTTAATTTCAATCAGCAGACCAATGACTACACACTGTGACGACATAGCAGGGGAAAGAAAAGACATAGCCAGTGGTACTGAAATATCTTTATGTCTACTCCACTCAAAATAAATTGGTAATTAAAAAATGAGTAATAGCCAAGCAAAGTAGTGCATGCGTGTAATTCTAGCTCCTTGAGAGGCTAATGAAGGAGTATCATGAGTTCCAGGTTGAACAATGTAGTAAGACTCCATTCTCAAAATAAAACAATAAAAAGGGGTTGGGAAGGGGGCTAGGGAGATAGCTCAGCACCTGAAGTGCCTACTGGCAAGCACAAGATCCTGAGTTTGATTCCCAGTATTAAAAAAAAAAAAAAAAAATGGGGAAGGGAGAGATGCAGCTCAGTGAAAGAGCACTGGTGCAGAGTGCACAAGACTCTAGACCCCATTCCCAATACTTGTACTACAGAAAGAAAAAAAAAGTAATACCTTATGTGATATATTAACAAGTTCCATTAATAAATTAATATGCTAACCAAATTATTAACGTCTAAAATTTTTTTTCATTCTTACATTTTAGAAGTACTTACATCACTGGTGTTGACAAACCATGTTATCTCTCCATAGGAAGCCAATTCACCATTCACATAACACCGAAGCTCACTGTTCTTCCAACGGTTATAAATGTGCACAATAGTCACCATATACCACTGAAGAACAAAAACAATAAAACATAGAAAGATAATGATTCTCCAAGTAATATAACCAGGTAGAAAACAAGTAAAAATGGTTAAATTATAACTAAACCTAAAAATAAAGAGAACCTTCATTAAGTTCAATATTCAGCTTCTGGAACAGTATTTAGGGAGGCTCTCCACTGAAAAAAACTTAATCAATAAGTAATTTTGTCAGGTTTGCAGAAATGATCAAATATACCCTCTAAAACTAAATATCTAGTACAAACACTTAAAAATCTCAACATTTTCCTACAGTTGCTTTAAGTATCTGCCTACATATCTCTCTACACATTTTGCTGACAAATGATTTCTGAATCTCTAAATTCTAAGGTACAAAAAAAACACATTAAGTTTGCGCTGCCTAAAATACCAATATTTTCTCCATATATTTCTCTTAAAAATCTATAAATAGTGCTGGGAAGATGGCTCAGTAGAATAAGCGCTTGCTTGGCAAGCACAAGGGCCTGAGTTCAATTCCCAGTACCACAAAAAGAAAAAAGGAATATCTGTTTTAGGGGCTGGGGAGATGGCTCAGTGGAATAAGCGCTTCCCTGGCAAGCGCAAGGGCCTGAGTTCAAACCCCAGTTCCACAAAAAAAAAAAAAAAAAAAAAAAAAAAAAAACCCAAAAAATTTATAAATAACTAAATATCCAATATATTTATGATCCAAATCACAAAAGCTGTCCAGTAATTTATACTCCTTTTTTTAAACAATGTAACAGAGTTGAGAAATAATACATTAAACATGTATATCATTAAAGCACAGTGTTCTGAAACTCAAATAGTTTACTAGTGAAATTATGACTCGGGAAGATCACTTACCTTTTGTGGCTTAAAGTCAAACTTCACACAGTGTTGAAAACCTTTTCCTTTAGATTTTATTGAAGTTATAATCAAACAGCCTCCAACAAAATGAGCAGAGTAACCAAGACCTTTGCTGGTTCTGAAACTATAAAAATAAGTTTTCATTTTGCTTCTAAATATTCTCATTTTCAAGGAGAGATATTAACATTAATCAAGTAGAGAAATACATACCAATACAAATATGGTTTATCCTTATCTACATTGATGTTATTTACAGGATCCAGTCTAAGCCAGGTATGAAATGTAAAACCATTCTGGTATGGCCATTTGGCTATTGGAGGTAATGCAATAGCCTAAAGGAAAGAAACTTTTGAGTTATTTATGTGCACGAAAACCTAAAATTATTGAGATCACAAAGTAAGACTTTTTAGTGTTCTATACAGTATTACATCAGGTTACTTGAAGTCACAATTAAAACATCTGGGCTGCATTTGGAAGAAGACTTTTAGTAACTTAATTTTCCCAAATACAATACTAATTATGTTAATTTAATTAAAAGAAAAATTCAGTGTAACCTACTAGACAAATAAGTCATACGTATTTTGTTTTATCATAAATATAGCAAGAGTCCAATAAAAGTGTTATCAAATTATAAATCTGTCATAGAAATATTCAAGCATTAGAAAAGAGAAATACAGACAAAAATTGAAAGAAAAGGTTAAAGAAAAAGTTTAGTATATATTTCTATTTATAAATTACAAATGTGAAACCTTTTTTTTGGTGGGGGTGCAGGGTCTCACTACACAGCTCGAACTCGTAGTGATCCCACTGTTCTCTGTCGCCCTAGTGCTGGGATTACAGGCATGCACCACCATATCCAGACTTAAAATTTTTAAGTTCTATTCAGAAGTCATTTTAAAATGGCTTTTCCAGGACCACGGAGACAGCTCAGAGGCATGATGCCTGTCTGGCAAGCGAAAGGTCCTTATATTCCCAGTACCAAAAAAGAAAACAAAAAAAATAGTTTTACCACTTTATTTAAAATTTTATTTAAAATAGCATATTATATAAGGAAAGAAACTCTAGACACAACAATCTTGAAATGGAAGAAAAAACATTAAGGACTATTGTACCAAATGCAAAACCTTCTACATAGAGCTACAGTATTGAAGACTGTGTGGTCTTCACATCAAGTTCTTATGCCTTTGGGTTAGGTACTTCTTTCTTAAACACGTGACAAGAGATATAAACTACACTTCATTAAAACTTAAAACTGTGCTCAAAAGGACACTATCAATAAAGTAAAAAGATATACTACAAAAAAGGGGAGAAAATATTTACAAATCAAATGTATGCTAAATTGACTGCAAAATAAATAAAATTCATATAACTCATATCTTTTTAAAGATCACAAGTCAGGCATGGTGACACATGCTTATAATCCTAGTATGCTGGGAGGCTACAGCAGGAAAATTTCAAATTCAACTCAATGTAGTGATTTAGCAAAATTCTGGCTTAAAACAAAACAAAAGAAAACAAAACAAAAAAAGATCTGAGTTCAATTCCGAAGCACTAGTACCAAAAAAATTTTTTTAAATAAGCACAATTGTAAAATGGGCAAAAGAAAAAAATGAAAAATAAAAAAATAAAATGGGCAAAAGATCACAATAACCATATCTCCAAAGTTATATGAATGGCCAATAAAGATATGAAAAGATAGTCAACATCATTAGCCATCAGGGCATAGTGGTACACACCTATAACCCTAGAACTCAGGAAGCTGAGGCAAGAGGATCACTACAAAGTTAGTTCAAGGCCAGCTACAAAGTTAAGTTCAAGGCCAGCCTGAACTACATAGTGAGACCCTGTCTCAAAAAGATTTAAAAAAAAAAAAAAAAACTGACACTACTAACTATCAGGGAAAAGTAAATCAAAACCACAGTGAAAGGGCTAGAACTCGAAGTGTAGTCCACTGGTAGAGCATTTGCATAGCATGTACAAGACCCTGGGTTCAAGCACACACGCACACATAAAATACCATTTCATACCCATTAATATGGCTATAATCCAAAAGAGAGATATTAGCCAATAATGGCAACAAGTAGAAAAACTGGAACCCTCATACACTGCTGTTGAGATTGTAAAATAAAACAACCCTTTTGGAAAACACTCTGAAAGTTCCTCAAAATGTTAAAGATCCATATGACCCAGAAATTCCACTCTTAGGTGCATTACCAAAGGCAGATAAAAACACATATCCACATAATAAAATGTACACAAAATTCAATAGAAACCATTATTTCTAGGAGCCCAAAAAGCAGAAACACCAAACATCCATTAATTTTTTAATGTAATGTAATCTGTAGTACATTTTTTAATTACATAATGTTCACATTACTTACATGGAGCTGGTACATAAAAATAACACATTTTCATTCCTTTCTTCATCCCCTTCATCTCTTGATGCCTTTCCCATTTAAGAAAGTCCTACTCTCTACTTCCTACTATCTTTCATTTCCCTCTTTATTGATAACATGGGTTTTTCATATTAAGAGAAAACATTTTTTTTTTCCTGGCAGAACTGGGGATTGAACTCAGGAACCTGTGCTTGCCAGGGAAGTGCTTATCCTACTGAGCCATCTCCCCAGCCCCCTGGGAAAAAAATCTGACAACTTTGTATGTTTGATTTATTTCACTTAACATTATAGTCTCCAGGTGCATCCGTTTTCCTACAAATGGCTCAAGTTTACCTTTCTTTATGGCAGAGCAATACTCTCTTGTACAAAAGTAACATTTTCCTTATTGATTCATCTACTAATGAACATATGTTACTTTCAAAATTCAAGTATCATGAATTGTGCTACTATAAATGTGGGTATGCATGTATCACTGTAATACAATGCCTCTAACTCTTTCAGAAAGACACGTAGAAAGGGGAATAGTTGAGTGAAAATGTGATAGAGCCACACAATATAGTATTAGCCATAGAAAGGCATACAGCACTGATGATACAAAGTGGTATCATGAATGGATCTTGAAAACAACCAATCCCCAAAGACCACATTATAGGATGCATTTCACTTCTATAAACGGACAGAATCTAAAGAAATAAAAAGTAAAATGGTTGCCTTAGAACCTGGCGGCAACAGAAAATTAACAGAAATGGGTAATGAGCATGATGTTTCAATGGGGGCTGATGCAAGCATTCTAAAATCAACTGGGCGGGGGAGGAGCTTGCCAGTTAGCTTAGTTGTTTAAAGCGCCTGATTGGGCAAACCCAGTCAGGAACTGGAGACCAGGTATACCCAGCTCCACATGCCACACCAGGCCTGCCCTTAAGGCAGGCTGCACAAGCAAAAAAACCCTTCTGAAGTTTTTGGGTCAGCCAAACGCTCAGCAGATTAAAGCACCTATGCTGGCCCCACCCTCAGGGCGAACTGAGACAGCAATGGAGACTGGGCACGGTGGTGCATGCCTGTAATCCCAGTTCTTGGAAGGCTGAAAACAGTAGGATCACTACAAGTCCGATCTATATAGTGAGATCCTGTAGACCCTGTACCCCATAGACCCTGTACTAAAAATATAAAAAATAAATAAATAAAATCAACTGTGGTTTCACAACTCTATGAACACACATAAATTCATTAAAATATAAACTTCAAATGAGTTACATATGGTATACAAATTATAGCTTAATAAAACCAGTAAAATCATGCTTGGCAAGCCTTTATTGTTATAACTTGATACATGCACTTAATTATACATATTATAGGTAGTAGATAAGGCATTAAACATGAATACATCCAGCCAAATGTATATAACAACACTGTTGTGACTTTAAGTACCTCACTTAAAATTAATAGTTAATTAAGAAAAAAAAAGAATAAATTGGGTGTAGTGACACATGCCTATAATCCCAGCACTTGGGAGGGTAAGGGTGAAGGCTCACCACAAGTTCAAGGCCAGCCTGGGCTATATAGGAAACTCAAAGCTAGCCTAAACTACACAACAAGACCTTGTCTCAAAACACACACACACACACACACACACACACACACACACACAAACACACACAGGGCTGGAGATGTAGCAAGTAGCAGAATACTTGCCTAGCATGTGCTAGGCCCTGACTTCAATTCCCAGTACTCCCCCACCAAAAAAAAAGTATATTTTTGGTGTGTACATATGTTCTGTCTCATTGAAAATGAGAGCAGCTATAAAAACTTTGTAAAAATAATTTATATAAACTTATACATAGGCAGATTAAATTTTCTTTAATATCTGTATTTGAGCAAAGGAATGAGTCACTGAATATATTTTAAACATTTAGCTTCTAAAAAAATTCAAAATCTATTCATCAATACTACTCTACTTCCAAGATAAATGCAAGACTATAATAAATGGATTACAATCTCAAAGAACTGCGAGTAATAAAAATGTTAATCTGGGGACCAAACTCAGGTCCCTTCTCTCTTATTTCCAATAAAATACCCCTAACCTCTGATCAATCAATCAACACTTAATCCTATGAGAAAACTTTTTCATAAGGCAAATAACAGCCTCAATGACAAGGGAAAAGTTATTCAGGAAAGCTTCAAATCTAAAATGTGTTTTAGGGCTGGCCAAATAGCTCAGCAGATTAGAGCACCTGTAAATAGGCACAGGAACTGGGGGTTCGATCCCTGGCCTGCCATGCCAGCCCCATCCCCGAGGCACCCTGAGACAGCAATTGAGAATAGGTATGGTGGCACACGCCTGTAATCCCAGCTCTTGGGAGGCTTTTCGACCTAGCAGTGAGACTCTGAACACCCTGTGGACCCTTCCCTAAAATACAAAAAAAAAAAAAATAAATAAAATGCCTTTTAAGGAAAAGATGAAAGAAAAAAATAGGCAATAAAAAGTTTTCAAAAGAAGTCATGTATTGTGTACATAGCACCCAATTATTCCAGATGTCCTTTTAAAACATAAAATTTATCTTTGTACAGGTATTGCCTGGGCCTAAGAACATTTTATAACTACCAAAGTAAGAAAGAAATATAAGACAATCTTGGAAAGATAACAGAAGTATTTTTAAGAAAAAAAATTTTTTGGCTTACAGATTATTGACCAATATAACAAAAATAGCTTAAGCAAATAATACATATACATTTCAAAATGTGTTCCTATAACATCTGAAACATTACAAACATATGTAACCGTCTTATTTATAAATGAACATGAAGAAAAGATTAATAATAATGCTGACTGACAAGAATGCTGAGAAACCATAACTAGAACTTCTCCAGTCAGGAAAACTGTCTGGTAAATTTCAGCAAGCTATTCTCATTCTATATACTGGGTGCAAAATAAACAGGTTCTTATCTACTGCTGCTTCAGGTTCTGAGTGGATGGCTTCCTAACTCCTCTAGGCATCTATTCTTTCACCAGTAAGAGAAATTAAACTGCACAGTTGTCACAAGGATTAAGTTAGCTTATGTAGAAAACCTTCTACCTAAACACACAACCTGCCAGAGTGTTTAAAGAGCTGTACTTTCAGGAAGCTATGGAAAGGAAAGCGTGGAATGATTTCCTCACTAATATTTACTTACTGCAGCACTCTTCCCGGGAAAGTTGAAAAAGGCATCAGGACCATACTTGTGAGGCATATGCTTCAGCACAGACAGCAACTTCCCAGCATGTGGGGGCTAAGGAAAGAGTTAACAAGCTATGAACCACAGTACTCGCCATAAAACCAAAATACTCATTTTTAAATATACTCATCCTCTAGTATACACAAGAATAACCAATTAATGTTATATCTAAAAAGCATATGCAATCACCAAAAGCACTATTTTCAAGTATCTTAAAGAAATAATATACACTATGCTGTTTTTTGAACAAAATACTATATCAATAAATAAGTCATATTATTTGACACTTGAAACTTGTTTCCGCAATGCAGCAAAAATGATCTTTTACAAATACAAATGAGATCAACCTACTACCCACCCTTCTGAAAAAGACTTGTAAGTAATGCCTACTATAAATACTCTGTAATATTATAACTTCATAAGTATACAATATGGTAATTCCATTCTCATCTCAGTTTCATAGAGGAGCAACCTATGGCATAAGAGCCTGTGTGTCACACACAATTCAGCCCAACTGTTGAATCCATGCTTTTTCACCATTAACTACGTTCTTTTCCCACTAGCTTCCCACCTCCTTTGAAATAGGTACAAAACTTTTAACATGGATTCCATAATCCTTAGCCACCTCTCTAACCTCATGGTGTACCACATTCTCCTCTCCTCCCTGCACTCCATCCACAATGTGCTCTCAATCTTCTCCCCACAAGGGTTCATTCCTGAGTACCAGCTGCCTGGTTCCTAAATTATTCTGACTAGGCCTATTTTCCGCTCCTCTAAACAAAAAACAAGCTTGTATATGCTATAACATTCATCTTAATGACAACTTCCTCAGGGCAGTCTTCCTGAATATGAGGAGCAGATTAAAATCCTCTGTCACAATATGCCACCTATAAAAGTTACAACATTGTATTTACGTGTTTAATGTTTCACTGGCCCACAAGTCTCTAATGGTCAAATAACTAAAAACTAAAATGAAAACTCTCATTTACATTTATAAGAAAAAACAAAGGACAATCAAATATACATTATTATTTTAATCAATTTGCAAGCAAATAAAACAGAACACTGCTCTTTGCTGAAAGTTCAAAATAGGGTCAAACTACAAGTGAAATCATTGGTTTGCCTTTAGCTTACTTTGATGCTGTTGCAGGTTATTATTACTGTTGTATAAGAGTTCAGCAACCATTTATATGAATGTAAAGTGGGAAGCATTACTCTCAAGTGATCAAGAAATTTGCAAATAGCCATAATGAGCTACTATGAAATTATAGTTAGTAACAAATACCAGCACAATATTTCTAACAAAAAAAAAAAAAAAAACCTCCAGTCACAAATAAAAATACAGTATTGCAGCATTCTCATCTAGAGAAGGCACTTCTCAAAATTCACTTTCCTATAAACCAATAGACACCGCTGGGCAAGTATATCAGAGAAAAATTTAGTACTTGTATTTCAAAAGTCTTTAAAAATGTTTCTACCCAGCATGGTGGTGCATGCCTATAATTTCAGACGCAGAAAGCTGAGCCAGGAGGATCCACTATGAGTCTGAGGTGAGCCTGGGCTATATACCATAGTGAGTTCAAGGCCACTCTAAACTATATAGGAAGATCCTGTTTCTGTTTCAAAAAATAAAGTTTCTATCCACTGATACAATGTTTCCACATGTAAAAAGCTACCCAGAAGTAATAATCAGAAAAGCAGACAGAGATTCAGATATGAGTGTTTCAATGCACTGTCATGAACACGAAAGACAGAAAAACTCTTATTTTAAAAGAGCTAAATCAATGTAATGTCTCAGCATTCTTGCTGTATTGACAGTTCATTATTTTCCCTTTATCCTCTAAATGTCTTCTTATTGCACTTCTGTCCATAAGCAGTTATACTGAATTTACATTTCCTCTTTTTTTTTCTAAAAATGTATTTAGGACAGGGTCTACAGGGTCTCACTACATAGATTGGACTCGTACTAACTCTCCTGTTTTCAGCCTCCCAAACACTGGGATTACAGGTGCACGCCACCACATCTAGTCTCAGTCACCATCTCAGCACGCCCCAAGGTTGGGGCTGGCACGGCACACTGGGAATCAAACCCTGGCCGCTGCGCTCTTTTACATTTCATCTTTTTATTGTGTTCTCTCAAAAATGTTTTTGTGCTTGTTCTCAGCATTTAAATGGTGTTGGGTAAGCTACACCATTCTGCTTATTGCTTTCTTCCTATGTTTACTGCATCTATTCTGTTACTTCATGCACTGATCCTAATTGCTAAATAATAATCAATTCTATGCATCCAATACATTTTACCAATCTGCTCTCCTAACAATGAATGCCATGTTGACAGTTCGCTACAATCAAAACTAGGGGGCCGGGGAGATGGCTCAATGGAATAAGCACTTCCCTGGCAAGCTCAAGGGCCTCAGTTCAATCCCCAGTTCTGCCAAAAAAGAAAAAGAAAAAGAACAAAGCTACAATCAAAAATAATGTTTCTGAGCCAGGCACAGTTGCACACACCTACCATCCCAGCACTTGGGAGGCTGACGCAGGAGGACCACCACAAGTCTAAAGCCAGCTTGAGCTATACTAACCTGAAGCCCAAGATTAGCCTGAAGTACACAGTGAAACACTAGTCTCAAAAGAGTAGCAATAGCAACAATAATAATACTAATGTTTCTATAAACATTCTCATACATATTTCCTTATTGAACTATGTCAGAATTTCCTGAACATACACCTAGGAGCAAGCTATTAATTAGGTCCCTAGATATGAGTATGATTTATATGACCACGTAGTGTTAAATTCTTGAAATTGGTTCCACTACTATTTATTCCAAAACACACCAGGTTTAAAATAACTTTATCGCCCAAACTATGGCTGTCATTATCTAATTATTAAATCTTTGAAACTAAAGATACAAAATGATATATCAATATTGTCATTATGTGAATATCTCTGATTATAAATGATAGGGCCAGCGAGATAGTTCAGCGAACTAAGTACCTGCTTGGGCAAGCATATGGGCCAGTATTAGATCCCTGGAACCATGTGCTGCGCCAGAGACACCCCCGGGGCATACTGAGTTGGCAACCAAGTCTGAGCATGGTGGCGCATGTGCCCATTATCCTAGCATTCGTTGAGAGTTTGAGACTAGCCTGGGCTACAAAGTGAGCGCAAGGCCACCCTAAACTATACCATGAGACCCTGTCTCAAAAAGACAAAAAAAAAAAAAAAAAAAAAAAACAATTGGGATACAAAGTAAGTTCATTAGCACCACTGCAAAGGGTCACTGAATTGTACCTAAGGAAAGAAGTAACTAATCACAAAGCTTCTGTTCACTGAGCAGGTCATTCAAATTTAAGAACCACTACTGCTATACTCTTCTTTCCCTATCCTTCACTTCTCCACTAATAAACACTGGACATATAAAGAATAATCATCCAAAGAAGGATTAAATTATTGGCCTGCCTGGAACACCTAGTCTCCTCAGCAACAACTATTTCTGAGCATGCCTAAAGCAGCTATACAGACCTAAATACCATTTAAATTGATCTCTTCCCCTAAGTTAGACATTCATTCCATCTCCAATAATATTTGTTACTTATGAGCTACAAATGTGTTTGGGTACTTTCAAGTATCAAAGCATATTAAGTGGTTTTTGGTTTTTGTTTGTTTGTTTTTGCTTTATTTACCCATTGTCCTTTATCTCCTTGAAGTTTACTGAAGAAAAGCTTTAGTTCTCGAACTGTCAGATTATAGCTAGCCAGCACTCCCAACATGTCAACTAAAAGATCTAGAAACAAAAGAAAACAGTAACATAATTAAGCCACTTATATTTCTTAAATAATTAAAATATATATGTTTACTTAAGGGTTTGGGTACCAAAGTTCTAAGTATAAGCTACATGCTCAAATACTTCTTAAATATTGCTCAATAGAATAACAAAAAAAAATATTTAAGAATCAAATTTTATCTCTTTATAAACACTGTACCATAGCAACATCATACCTGCAATCATACTATCAACTTTTTCTATTTTCCCAAGAACTTGTTCAACAAGGCCAACTTCTGTACAGATCTGTAGATTCCGTATGCTCTTCTTCAGAATGGCAGTAAACATGCTCCAGACTTCTGCTTGACAGGTAATGTCACATTTCTCCAGGAGGTCTACCATGCAGCTGATACTCTCACCTTCTTGGATAATGAAATTCATCTCCAAATCAAACTGCCCTCCTACCAGCTTGCAACAGAGAAAAAACATATACATTCATTAAAGGCATTAGTAGTTCTTCAATATCACTCTAACTTGCTCTTAAAGTTTAAATTGGCAATAATTACCCACACATATTTTCCCTACCTTCCACTGTAATAAGTGTTTCATTTAAAAAAAAAAAAAAAGCCTAGAAAATATTCCTTCTAAAGAAATCTTCAAATGTAGTCACATATAAACAAATATAGGCTCTCCTAAGTTACTGCTACTTACTGCCCGGTTATTAATATAGACCCAAATCAGTTCTATAATTGCCCCATTCTTACATGATTTTCATTCATAAATTACCAACTTTGTGAACAATACACAGAAACTTAAAGGTCCTTTCTACCTAAACAGGGTAAGAACTCACAGCAAAAATGAGAACCTTTTGAGCAGATCTCAAACTTTGTGTAGTTTCTGCTTTATTATACCCATCAATTTTGATCCTTCTCCTTTCCCAACAATAGTGTAAATTACACATAATTAGTCAAATGCTCAAAGTCAGTCCTGACAAAATTTACTTCACTGCTATTACTGTTAGAAAACCAATCCAGATGGTTACAGTGACCTAGTCCCATCTTGCTACCTCACCCATGGCCTCCCCACACCTGCAGAAAAGAAATGCTAGTTGTATAAAACTAGCAAAGCACCTTTCAGGGTTCAGAAGTAGACCATGCACGAGGCCCTAGCACGCATAAGGCCCTTAGCTTCATTCCAGTACCACAAAAATTTTTCAAAATTAAAATTACTTTTAAGATTTGCACAGCTATCCTTTTTAACTAGATTTTATAAAATAAATGTTATGTATATTTAAGGTATATAACATGAGGTTATTTCAAATAGATTCATTAAAGATCTTAAAAATTATGATCTTCAAATTATGATTCACCTACACTTATATTATGCATTCTTAAATCTAAAAGATGGGCAAAAATCAGAAGAACGTGAACTTTACAAAACAAAATCTAACAGTTCATAAAATAATAAATTCAACCAAGTAAGAGTTTACTCCAGGAGAGAAGGTTCAAAACTGGGAAACCAATTAAAAGTCACTGCATCCAGGACTTTGCATGTGTGCTAGTTTCTGTTCAAAATCTACACTGACCTGAGGGGGAACACACAGACACAAACAACATGAGGATCAGTATTTATGTGCTGGAAGACAGGAACTCTGGGTAAGCACAGTGGTAAAGGCATTTGGTTCTTTTAGGAAATGCTGGCAGAGATTTTGGTACATAATTCTCAGTACCTTCAGCATGAGATGACAGCTGAGTTTTGGCTAAAACCCTCAGTGTGACAGATGGACAACTGCTAGTTCTGTGGTCCTGGCTGTGCTTCACTCCCTACCCCACATATACTCTCAGCCATTCAGCACTCTAAAATAAGAACTCTGAAAATATAGACCTTTCATTTCTGTTTTATGACTATTATTAGCTTGTTTTGTCTTTAATTTGAAACAATTTCAAACACTGGAAAGTACTGCAAAAACAGTACAAAGTTCCTAATACCTTTCAATCAGCATTCCTAATATTGTCCCCTAATTACATATAACATATGACAAAATCAGAGTATGATCGTTAAAACCACGCAATTAACATTTACGCATAACGCTATTAGTCAATCTAGAGACCTTACTCAAATGTTGGGACTTACCACAACTAATTTTCTTGTTCTGATCATAGATCTGATCTATCAACCCCTTTGACCTTCCCAAATAATGATAGTTCCACAGGATTTCTTTGATTTTTGTGACTTTGACACTTTTTTTAAAAAAAAGAATATTTGCCAGTTATTTTTATACAAGGTCTCCTAATCAGAAAATGTGGGGACATTTTATTCTTTGCAAGGACACACTAGAAGATACGTATCCTTCTCAGTGTGTCACTTCAGATGCCATCTGATGTCAAAATATCAAACTATGGGGCCGTGGATATAGCTCACTGGCACAGCATCTGCCTATCAAATGCAAAGTCCTGAGCTCAATTCCGAGTACCACCCCCAAAATCAAACTACGGGTAAATTAACTTTGATCATTTAAGGTGGTATCTGACAGATCTTTCAATTTTAATGCTACTGTTTTTCACTTTGATATTATTAAGTATCTCACGGAGAACATCTCAAGACTACATAAATATCTTTTTTATCATAGCTTTGACAAACTATGCCTGGCTGTTATTATTGTGGCATCTGCTAAATAACAAAGCCAGACACAAATGGCTACCTGTAGCCCACTTCTCTCTATTCAACTGACTGGAAAAGGTAAAAGTGAAGGAACAGAAATTAACTCAGTGATTGTCTAGGGGTGATATCATGAGGAGATGTAGAACAAGACCAGATCTAAGGAAAACAATCACAAAATATAAATCTCTACTGTATAATTAATTTATAGACTCATTACTGAATGCTGACTACATGCCAGGCCATAGGGAAATACTAGAACAATGATAAGCAAGGCAGAAATAGTCTACCATTATTTGTGTACGCGATATTAAATTTAATGGGAGGGGTGTTTAACCATTTATTTAACCTGATGCAGTGGTATATTCCTGTAACCACAGCTACTCAGCAGGCTGCACCTGGACTACAAAGTCAACTCCCGATGAGGCAACTTAATGAGTCTCTGTTTTAAAAATTAAAAATTAAAAATCCAAGTAACTTAGTGGTACAGTACTCACCTAGCATGCATGGGCACCCGGATTCAATCCTTATTACAAAACATAACAATAAATAAAAACAAAAATACTTTATATTAAAAAAGTAAAAATAAAAATAAAAAATACTTTATACTTACTTAAAAAATACTAGACTTTTGGAAGTCTCAGTGAAAAAATACAATATAATATATGAATAACATCAAATCAGTAACTCTTAAAAGTAATTTTGTATAAATATAAAATGAAACAATAACAGCAAATTTCCCAAATGTCTTTAATATCTAACCAAAACATTAGTAGTTTTCAAACATTTTTGATACCAGTATAAATCTAAAACATCTATGAATCAATTTTTAAATATTCAAGAGTTAGAAAAATTTATATTTTGGGGGCCAGTGAGATAGCTCAGCAGTCTAAAGTGCCTGCTTAGACAAGCTTAGGCAAGCACAGGGACCACAGTCCAATTCTGGCACCACACGCTGCACCAGCCCCACCCCTGGGACAGGCTGAGCCAGCCACAAAAAAACAAAAAGCTAATCCTATTTTTGATGAATCAATGGGTTTCTGGATAACATTAAATCCCTTTCAAATTGTTAACATTTCATAAATTCATCTATAAATGCAGCATAATACCACTATATTCTTTTTTCTTAAACATGACAAATGATTTCCATTTCCATGTGGCAATTAAATACGGAAAAAATAAGGAAGAAAATTCTGTATAACAAGAGTGCTAAAGACAGACATGGCAGCTCATGTCTGTAATTCTAGCACCCAGCACCAGGGAGGCTAAGAGAAAAGATCCCTGCAATTTCCAGGCCAGCCTGGGATTCCTGAACTACACAACAAGACCCTGTCTCAAAAAAAAAAAAAAGCAATGAAATTATTAAACAAATGATAAAATACATAAAATGTGTATTGGATTAAAAACTAATTGATGCAATAACATAGAGCCTGGAATCAACATAAACTCAATTCAGACTGTGAATGGCATCACAAGCACTGAATGAGGCTATGACAATTTTCATTCTGAAAGCTTAAGGTTGAATCCTTATTTCACACCACCTGCCCAAATAAATTCCAAGTAAGTTAAAACAGAAAGTTACACAGCAAAGGAACCAACAGAATGAAGATACAACCTACAGAATGGGAGATAGTATTTGCAAACCATAATGTGACAAGTTATTACCCAGAATGTTAAGTGTAATAAGCCAAGGACAAAAAAAAAAAAAAATACTGTATGATCTCACTCATCTGTGGGACATCAAAACACTGACAGCACAGAATGTGGTTACCAGAGGCTGGAGAGATCAAGGAAGGGGAGGAACAGGAAGACTGGTCAATGGACACTAACTTTGATCACGTCAATTTGAGTAGGAAACACTAAAGTGAACTGGATCAGCATAATTCTGGGTGTGGCAAGGGATTTTGCTGAAGATTTTCTATAATTTACTGGGTGTGAGCAACAGTAGCCAATGGATTTGGACAGGTGTGGGGTTACATAGGTAATCCCAGCGTTCAAGAGTCTGAAGCAGGAGGATCACCATGAGTTTGAGGACAGCACAGGCTACAAAAAGTTTCAGGCCAGCCTGACAAACCTAGTGAGACCCTATCTTCAAACAAAAAATGGATTTGCTGAATACTATAAAAGGGAAACAAAGAAAGAAGGCTGGCCTCTGTTTTCTCTGGAGGAGCTCTAGTCTTCACCTTCACCTTGGACATCCTCTCCTGGCTTCCAGAGCAGGTTCTTTGTATGGACACTATAAGGAGCTCCAGGCTTTGATAGCATCCTGCAGGTCCCTGGGTCCACAGCATGCAGGTAGCCCTTTTGCCCTCTTCCACACGTGACTGCAGGCAGGCAGCCACTGTAAGCCAATCCCGCAAATGCTTATATATTTGTATGTCTTGTATTAAACCTGTTTCCTCCAAGGACTTTTCCTTGTGCCTGAATTCTGTCACTCCTTACTTTTACAGTCTTATCTTAATATGTACTGGAGGTCCTCTCAAATTAATTACCTTGCAAAGAATACTGGTCAGCACGGTTACAACTGTATATCTCAAAGAAACTACAAAAAAAAAAAAAAAAAAAAAACCTGTTGAATGCTTTTACCATGTAGAAACGATAACACTGGAGTGAGTGAGACGACTGAGGGCCCCTGGGATCCTAAACAGACCCAGAGCGCAGGCCCGGCGAGTGAGTGAGACGACCCGGGCCACGGGATCCTGAACAGACCAGAGTGCAGGCCCGAGTGAGTGAGACGACCCAGGCCAGCGGATCCTCATTCGACCCAGGCTGCAGGCCCAGCAGGGAACCCTTCAGCAGAACTC